ATGTCCCAAATATCTTAAGTATAACATTTAAAGTATCAGAAAATGATGAAGTTGTTCGTGTGTTAAATAAATGTATTCCAGAAAATTTCTAAAAATGTCATATGTATCTGCTAACTAGATGTAGGTGTGACTACATGTGTTTGTATATGTATCATTTAAAAAATAAACACCCAAACTATCCTAGAATAAGGCAAACCTTAGTAGTCATAGTGTATTCTTTTAAAACTCTATCATTCAATTACAAGAATTAATAATAAACAATATGAGTTAATAAATCATTTTGAATAAAATAATGTAATGAGAAGTTATTTAAGTGTATCCTGAATTTCCTCAAATTCAATTGTAATATCTTTGTGATAATAGCTAAAGGAAAATACTGGATTACATGCTCTCGAATGAGATTTGAAATGTCCAGGGTCTTTAGAGGACATAAAATTGAAAATGGTTCCATTGAGTAAATTGCAAATGAATATAGACTGTATTTTGAAAATCAGTGTGGGTCTAAAATGTACATTAGCCACATGATGTCGCTGTATACCACAAAGTCTTGTCAAATGGAAATAGTATCAATCACTAAAAATAAAGGAGGAAGTTCCATTTTGTCACTGCCCGAGAGAAAACAAAAACGGTAAGGAGATAAATGATTGAAAGTATTAAGTAAAAAAGCATTATTTTGAAGTAAGGCGAGAGCAGAACGAAAGGTGTAGTGCTTTTGCAATGCTGTTATCCATGCGAGGAGGCCTGGGAGCCCGGTGTTTATTGATCTTGCTTCTGCTCCTCGCAGCCTGGGGAACTGGGAGCGGTCAGCTCCACTACTCGATCCCAGAGGAGGCCAAACACGGCACCTTTGTGGGCCGAATCGCACAGGACCTGGGGCTGGAGCTGGCGGAGCTGGTGCCGCGCCTGTTCCGGGTGGCGTCCAAAGACCGCGGGGACCTTCTGGAGGTGAATCTGCAGAATGGCATTTTGTTTGTGAATTCTCGGATCGACCGGGAGGAGCTGTGCGGGCGGAGCGCGGAGTGCAGCATTCACCTGGAGGTGATCGTGGACAGGCCGCTGCAGGTGTTTCATGTGGAGGTAAAGGTGAAAGATATTAACGATAATCCACCGGTGTTCAGAGGCAGAGAACAAAGGATACTTATTCCTGAATCTAGACTCCTGGGTTCGCGTTTTCCGATAGAGGGCGCTGCTGATGCAGACATTGGTGCCAACGCTCTTCTAACTTACACCCTCAGCCCCAGTGATTACTTCTCTTTGGATGTACAGGCAAGTGATGAACTGAGTAAATCTCTTTCGCTCGAATTGAGGAAATCTTTGGATAGAGAAGAAACGCCAGAACTTCATTTATTATTGACAGCCACTGACGGGGGCAAACCAGAGCTGGAAGGTACAGTTCAGCTGCTAATCACCGTGCTGGACGTTAATGACAACGCCCCACTGTTTGACCAAGCCGTGTACAGAGTCTCCTTATTAGAGACTACAGCAAATGGAACATTAGTGACCACATTAAACGCCTCTGACGCTGATGAAGGTGTAAATGGTGAAGTTATCTTTTCCTTTGATAGTGATATTTCTCCTAAGGTTCAAGAAAAATTCAAAGTTGATTCCAGCTCAGGAGAAATTAGACTAATCGATAAACTGGATTATGAAGAAACAAAATCCTACGAAATTCAGGTAAAGGCAGTTGATAAAGGAAGCCCTCCGATGTCAAATCACTGCAAGGTTTTGGTAAAAGTGCTGGACGTAAATGATAATGCCCCACAACTGGCAATCACTTCCCTGTCTTTGCCCATCAGAGAGGATGCTCCACTCAGCACAGTTATCGCCCTCATCAGGGTGTCTGACCTTGACTCAGGTGTCCGTGGGCAGGTGACCTGCTCCCTGACACCCCACGTTCCCTTCAAACTGGTGTCCACCTTCAAGAATTACTATTCTTTGGTGTTGGACGGCGTCCTGGACCGTGAGAGTGAGTCGGTGTATAAGGTGGTGGTGACAGCGTGGGACGGGGGCTCGCCTTCGCTGTGGGCCACAGCCAGCGTGTCCGTGGAGGTGGCCGACGTGAACGACAACGCGCCGGCGTTCCCACAGCCCGAGTACACGGTGTTCGTGAAGGAGAACAACCCGCCAGGCTGCCACATCTTCACGGTGTCGGCGCGGGACGCGGACGCGCAGGAGAACGCGCGGGTGTCCTACTCGCTGGTGGAGCGGCGGATGGGCGAGCGCGCGCTGTCGAGCTACGTGTCGGTGCACGCGGAGAGCGGCAAGGTGTACGCGCTGCAGCCGCTGGACCACGAGGAGCTGGAGCTGCTGCAGTTCCAGGTGAGCGCGCGCGACGCGGGCGTGCCGCCTCTGGGCAGCAACGTGACGCTGCAGGTGTTCGTGCTGGATGAGAACGACAACGCCCCATCGCTGCTGGCGCCTCGGGTGGGTGGTACCCGTGGCGCGGTGACCGAGCTGTTGCCCCGGTCTGTGGGGGCGGGCCACGTGGTGGCGAAGGTGCGCGCAGTGGATGCTGACTCTGGCTACAACGCGTGGCTGTCGTATGAGCTGCAGGCAGCAGCTGGAAGCGCGCGCAGCCTGTTCCGCGTGGGTCTGTACAACGGCGAGATCAGCACGACGCGCGCCCTGGACGAGGCTGACTCACCGCTCCAGCGCCTGTTGGTGCTGGTGAAGGACCACGGTGAGCCCGCGCTGACCGCCACGGCCACCGTGCTGGTGTCACTGGTGGAGAGTGGCCAGGCACCTAAGGCCTCTTCTCGGGCGTCAGCCAGCGCTGTGGGCCCAGAGGAGGCGCTGGTGGATGTCAACGTGTACCTCATCATCGCCATCTGCGCGGTGTCCAGCCTGTTGGTGCTCACGCTGCTGCTGTACACCGCGCTGCGGTGCTCTGTGTCGCCCAGCGAGGGCGCGTGCGGGCCGGGCAAGCCCAGGCTGGTGTGCTCCAGCGCGGTGGGGAGCTGGTCATACTCGCAACAGAGGCGGCAGAGGGTGTGCTCTGGAGAGGGTCCGCCCAAGACCGACCTCATGGCCTTCAGCCCAGGCCTACCTCCAAGTGTGAACATGTCAGAAAGAAGTGAACGTCCAGAAGGAAATTCAGACGTTTCCGGTAATGTAAGTCCAACTTTTGAGCTTTGGCTATAAATTTCTTTTTTACATTTAACTTATCTAGCCATCTTTTCAAATATCACTTAAAAAAATGTCTTCAAGGTGTTCACTAACATTGAAATAAATCTTATTATTTAATGTAGATAGTCTATTAGTCGCAGCTGTGTCTTGAAAGAAACTAGGAAACGAAAAATGTAGCGACAAATTTTCATATTTTTTGGTTGAAATGGTAGGTAAAAAATACTTCAATACAAAGTAGTGTTGATCATATTTAACACCGGATCTCAGCAGGATAAAATAGAGGGACATTTTCAGGTTTACTTATGACCTTATAATTTCCTAGTGAAATGTCAAGCCTTGGATGTATAATTGTAGGCAAAGTTGGAGAAACCATCTCCCCTTTCTTTAGTTTCGAAGTGAACAATAAACTGAATAATTTTAAGAAAAATGTAATTTAAAATATATTTATTGGGTGTTATTTTTCTTTGCTAAAACGTACAACCATTACTTCATTGTCATTATGGACAATTCCCTGGTGCCATTGATCTTGAGTTCCCCTGGGACTAGAAGGCTTAATATTGCATGTATTTGTTATTTAGGGTACCCAGTTAGGAAACACTTGTTGAACACCTCCCATTTACTCAAAACCATTTACTTTTTACCTCATTCAAGTCTTCCAATGACTTTGTGAGGTGGATACTTTAGTCTCATTTTGTGAATGAAGGTGCTGAAGGTGCTAAGTTCAGTAAGTTTTCTTATCATGAAGTTTTCCTCAGATCTCCCAAGAATATTTAAAACTTACTTGTTCTAATACAGTTTATTGCCTTTCACAAAATATTTAAAGTAGCTTACAATGGAAGAAACTTACAAAGGCAAAATTTAAAAAATCTTTTTAAAAGCCAAAGTAAAAGATCAAAAGAAAGATGGGAGTAATTTTTCCTAAGATCAAACCTAGGCTGAGTGCAAATCCTAATACTTAACTTCCTGGAAGTGAATACAGAAATATGAAAAATAACAGTAAAAAGAAATTCTCTATACCATTTCTCCAAGAGAAAAAAAATACTCTCTTCCAGCTATAAAATCAAGGAGGATTTGCTTTATAGCAGTTTTGCAAAACCAACGGAAACAGATTTGATGTAGATGTTATTGTATTTGCCAGTCATCCAGTCAGGAAACTTTATTTCCTATGTTTAATTCTAAAGTCACACAAGTATTAAAGAATATATTTTTGTTTGCCAAAAATTCAAACAAACATTAAGAAAATGTCCCACGAAAGTCCCCTTGTGAAAACATTCTATGAGAAGTTAATATAATTTTGTAGTTAGGTTTCCAGAGATTTGAGTTGACACAGAGATGTTGCTTAGAATATTGTAAAAAATAGACTATAAGCATGTTTCTGTAACTTTTCATATATTATCATACCCAACCTTTTGGCAAGAATAAAAAAAATTTTAGAGTCACATTGCCAAGAAAACTTACCAGCTCCTCTAAATATGAGATAAAGTTTGCAAGATTATAAAATCGGAAGATAGATTAGAAAGTCACAAAATAACTTATCTTCCCATTTACATTACTATGTCCCTATAGCTTCATTTGCTAACAATATTAATGTCAGGGCTTAGAATTGCCTCTAGGGACAGTCAATATTTATTGATTGATCCATTCACCAAGCACATATTGAGAGCCTCATATATTCTAAACCCTGCTATAGATCCTAGGGATACAGTAACTTTGAAACACGAGATAGGCAAGGTCCCTTGGTAGGACCTTGGGGATAACATTCAACGAGACAGCATTCTAACCTATTAAAAATACCAACAGAGTTATAAAAAGATTTGGATTTGGTGTGTACTGCTTTTTCAGTTTTCTTTGTCTAACCAGGATATCCATAAAGGAGTATCTCATTCTATTCACGACTTTTTAAAAATAGGTAATAACATGCTATTAATAGCAAGTTTTCTGGAAATAAAGCAAATTAAGCCATTCTCTCTTTATGTAAATAGTACTCAGAAAACTGAGTGATTCTCACTGCCTCAACACAGAAGAAAAAAACCAAGCAGCTTAAATATACCCTGAAAAAAGCAATTGAAATGATCACACAACTGAGAGGGTTAGAGGCAAATCTGAAAATCATAAATGGTGTGTGAAAGGTAAACATGTATTTCCTTCTATCAAGACAGATAAATTTGAGTTAGAGGTTGGCATTTAAAGCTGGAATGGCACATTTGTTTTTAAAATAACTTATTTAGGTTGAAAAGGCAATTAATTATCTCATAGTACTTCAATGAGAGGTTAACCATAAGATTATTAGTGGAATTGAGCATTTTT